AGGTAGAAAAAGAGCAGGAACCCACATCTAGGCTGTACTGTAGGAGCGGCACCAGTCCCAAGTTGTGTTTTCCTGGCAATTAGGATCTGAAGTTGTCACTTGAGCTTAGACTGGCTGGAGAACTGTCAGATAGTACCTCATATGTGATGGGCTGTATCAGTTTCCTCACAGTTTGCCTTCTACCAAGAAGATCAGTGGTAATTCCTAACAAATAGGATTGAGAATTTGGTTCTGGCAGGTAGTCAAAAGGTAAGGATGAAAAAGTAGGTTTCCCTCGCCCCTCCCCATTTCTCTCAGAGAATGTTTTTGAGACACAGGTAACCAAGGCTGGCCTCATCCTCCTTCTTGATTTTCCCACCTCAGCATTTTTGAGTTGGTGATATGAGTGTACCACCATGCCCAGCCCCATTTTTCATTATGTCACCTAAAATTCCTTATTTTTGTTTGATAGCTCCTTGATGTATTACTGATTATCAATTTGAATGAAAATATTCTTTTCTAAAAGTGTAAAAACTCTTGTGAGTTTTATAATGTGTTCAATAAATGCCTTAAAGATCACATGAATAAAGCTGGATTTTCATTAGAAAAGAGGTATAACAGGAAATAAAAGACTATTCAGGCTGGGCTTGAACTTGAGATCCTCCTGCCCTAGCTTTTTGAGTACTGGTATTACAGGCATGCTTCATGTCCTGTGACAGATTATTTTGTTTTTAATACTGTTTTTAGTAGGCAGAAGTATGTAATGTCTCTAAAACTAGGAAAGGGAGAAGTTTATCCACTTTGTTTATAGTTGGAGAAATTGATCTTTAGTAAATATCTAGTAAGCATAAATTATGCAAATAAGTATTTTTCATGGTTCTGAGTAATAAAGAGAAATTAGAAACAGTGCCTGCCTTTAGGAAACTCATATATAATACTGGTAAGATAAGATAGTACAATCAATCCTGCTAGGCATGGTTCCCACATTTGTCTCAGCACCTGGGCAGCTGAGGATCAGGAGGATCAGGAATTCAAGGTCAGCCTGAGCTACATACAGAGACCCTATCACAAAAACAAAAAACTAAAATACCAACCCAACAATTAAAAAGACTATACTAAATGCTGTGACAGATGAAATAGTCTTTGGAATTATAGGTGGAAGGAAATAAACATTTTCCAAAGAAGATAGAAAAGTGCTCCCTGGTAGAGAAGATAATCGAAATAGGTATTTAGGGATGAGCAAGAATAGTGATAGAAGTAAAGTGAGCTGGGAACACTGCAGGCTGTATCTAAGGTTGCCTGCTGGTTCCGTGACTGGAGTGTTTTATGGTACAGTGAACTAGTGGCAGAACCTGATACATGGTAGGTGCTGTTTGTGGGGCTGGATAGATGGCTCTGTGGTGAAGAGTCCTCACTGGTCTTGTAGAGGACCTGAGTTTCCCAGTACTCACGTTCTGTTACTTAGAACTACTGACAGCCCAGCTCCCAGGGATCTCATGACCCTGTTCCATGTCTGTGGGTATTGTACTTATGTGTCTAACACCACCCCCCCATACACATCATTTAAAATAAAAATAAAACCTTAAGTAAGTGCTATTTGTATTGACTCAAAGTTATGTTAGGAGCTCAGTGGGTGTGCACATCTGTAATCCCATCACCTAAGATGCTCACATTGTTTAGTTGTTTTGGGGGGTGTTTAGCTCTAAATACATGAAATTCTCTGTTTGCAGTTGATGTATAAAATTTGGTGTTAATGTGCCTTTGATATATTTCAAAGTAATCACTAAATGTAATTTCTCTATGTACAGTAGACATTTAAAAAAAAGCCACTAAGTTTGGAAACATTTTGAGTTAATTTAAGGTGACTCAAAAATAGTATATAAGCAATAAAAGGTACCTGCACATGCTATTAAATTAGTGGCTTTTGGGAAGTCATCAGGATGCTCCCTTGCTGGAGCATCACCATTAACATTTAAATGTCCCTGAAGGGCAACTCCCCCCATCCTTCATTATATATTTAAGGTGTACAACATGATATTTTAATTAAATGTACCTTCTGTAATGATTCCCACAAACTATCATCTGGGACATAGTTACAATTTATATATGTGGTAAAAACACTTAAGATCTCCTTTAGCAAATTTTGAATATATGGTATGTAGTTCTTAGCAATAGTTACCACCTGTTCCTTAAGGTTCTCGTATTTATTCATCTTATAATTGAAGGTTTGCATTTTTCCATCAGTATCTTTATTTCTCCCACCTCCCAGTTCCAACCAGTTTTCTACTTTGTTTCCCAAAAATGTGACTCTCAGATTCTACACATCTTTATCTTTTACCTTCAGTCCTTTGACTATGAGTTGCGTGTGTGCACGCACGCGTGTGTAACTCTTTGAGATGTCTCAAGCCTCCAATTAAATTGGTTTCCCAATTTCTTATTCCCCCTCCCCCCAAAAAAAGTGTGTCACTTTTTGCTATTGTCTACTGAGACCCAGGGATCTGGTTCTTTTCTTTTTCTTTCTGTTTTTCATACCCTCCTTCTAGAATGGATACTACTACATTGGTTGCTGGTCTGCTCTTGAGTTTTCCTGATCCTTTATCCCTGCCATTGTGTTGTTCTGTTCATCCAGTTGTCTTTTCTATTTCCAATACTGTGCTTACCCAACATGGTTCCACGTGCATTTGCATAATTTTCATTTTTCTGGTGATTCTTCTATGTTAACAGATGCAAGTGATTTCTCTTTTACTTCATTGTAGTCAAGTCTGATGGCTGTCCTTATCTGACAATTCTAGCATGTGGGTCACTGTCACTTTGGGATCACTGGGTCATAGTATTCTGGTTTTAAATATGTGGAACTTCATTGGGGCTGGTTGTAGAGTTCCCTAATATTCAAGGATGAAAGGATCTGCTCTTTATTCTTAATCTGGAGAGGGCTTCAGTAACTATTTTACAGTGGAATCATTTTTTAGAAACTGAAACAAGTTTGTATTCTATCTTGTAGGCAGTAGATTATCATTTTAAGATTTTTGGGTTAGACAGTGATTTTTAGAGATTATTCTCTTCCGCTTTGTATAGGATTTCTAGAACAGATAGCAGAGCATCCTGTTTGAGGGTTTCTGATTCTAACAGTTTAAGATTATCTTGTATTAGACAAATCTTCATTTCAGTGTGATGTATTCCATTCCTTTGCCCAGCAGATGGCAAAGTATACCATTTGCCTTCCATTAGTGCTCTTGTGACCTGTACTGTTGTCGGTAATGTTCAAATTGACTCTGTAATCGTATTTCAGCTAGATTACAGTTGCTATTGATGGAGTCCATGAGGACAGATTGTTCATATCAGTTCTTGCTGGTCTTATGCAGTGGAGCACTTCTGATTTTTCTGTCTGCAAACTTGTGAAGTGTGAGGTATTCTGTCAGTCATGCTGACCTCCTTCCATTTCAGGAGGCATATTTTTTCCACATGTGAAGGCTTGACATTAGTAAGCCAAGTTTGGATTGGAAAAATAAAACACTACTTTGCTATGCAAAGGTATCAGATATAAGTAGATAAATAGTTTTTCATAATTATAACAATTTAAAACTCAAGGTATCTGTTTGACTTAGGTGATTATGTAAGAAATGGAAAGTGTGGAGAGGACATAGGGAAAGTGTGATTAGGACTGGTATTTGTTGTATATGCTGTGTGCCAGGTGCTGTGATATATACCTTGTTTTATCCTTCTTAATTCTTTTGAACTGTCCTAAGTTAACTGTCTTGTACTGATGGGAATAACCCCTGCCCCCCAAGCTAAGGCTTGAACTCAGCATGCTACCATTGAGCTAAACCCCCAGCTTCCAACACTCAGGAATTATTAAATAATACAGAAGCAGTCAACTGTCTGAGGAAGTAAAAGTTTCCTAGAGACAGTTGATACTTAACCTGAATTTTGCAGGATGAGCAGGAGTGGTTGCATTTGGGGCTCAAGAGAGAGTATCTGATAAAGGCAGAGCAGGGTTAATAGTGACTCAGCGGCATCAAATGAGTTGCACTGTTCAGAAACTGTCAGCAGTCATCTGGCTAGGGAGTCTAACAGTATCAGGGCAGCTAAGAGCAGTTATTAGGCATCAGATATTAAAGGAAATTTTGTGTGCCTTTCAAAGTTTTGTTTATTTTCTTTTTAAACATGGACAGTGGGAAACATTTGAAGGTTAACCAATAGAGCAGTATCATGCTTTGGACAATCTTTGTTTCTTCTTATTTTTAATGATTTATCTATTGATATACTAAGTTCTTTTTTGGGAGTTCCCAGCTGGCCTGGAAGTCTGAAGAGATCTGCCTCCCTCTGTCTTCCGAGTACTGGGATTAAAGGTGTGCAGCACCACACCCATCTTGATATACTCAGTTCTTGGACTTAGTTTTGGAGTTGGGCATCCACGAAGAATTTTCTTTTTATATTTGAGAAAAAAATTGCAGATATTATTAGAGTTTAGTCACAGAAATTTAAATGAAATACTGTGACTTTTTCTTGAAGTAGAATTTTTCTCAAAGGCTATGGGCATTTAGGGGCTAGTGAGATGGCTTAGCAAGTAAAGGTGTTTGCTGTCAAACTTGACTACTGAGTTCTAACCCCAGATCTCACATGGTGGAAGGAGGGAGCCAATTTGTGAAAGTGGTTTTCTGACCTCCATTGTGGCAAGTGCACACACGCGCGCGTGCACACACACACACACACACACACAAATGTAATTTCTTTAACACAAATGTAATTTCTTTAAAGCTATGGCATGTGAGTTAGTAGCTCAGTCATTGAGCACTTACCTAGCATGCACAAAGCCATGTGGTTTGGTGCACGAACTGAAGACTGTAACAACCATAGGCATTTGTGATTTTGATAAAATTTTCAAAGCAGAGTTAACTGAGCCAAAACTCAAATTTTAAGTTATGAACTATAAAATCTAATTTCATAACAAATAGAAAATTTAAGAATTAATATAATATTTACTAAGATTAGTGAAATTATATAACTTTTTTATTTTCCAGATATACAAAACTAGGATATGCTGGGAATACAGAACCACAGTTTATCATCCCATCCTGTAAGTATTTCTTTTAATCCACAAATGAGCTGATTTACAGATCTCCTTCCGCATAATAAAAATAAAGCAAGTAACAATCCATGCTATCAGAATTCGTCCTTCAGAAACATGGCTGCTAACTTGTATACGGAGCCCTGTTTCTGGATCTGATTATTATTTCAGTGCTGTTTACCAAATCTACTAAGTAGCTCTTGGGAAAGCAAAACAGAACCTGCTAGTGAGTTGATAATTAAACGGTTTCCTGCTTTGAGGATGTTGCTGTTTAGCAGTGTGGCTGTAACTAGTTAGTAAGTCGCACATCTGTGTAATTCAGCTAAGGTAGCTGTCCTTTAGCTCTAGGCTACATTACTGTTGGCAGGATGGGTGCTGTAGAAGATGAGTCCATAAGTGAAGATAAAGACAGCATGCCACCTTTGACAAAAGCTTCAGCTGTGTTTTGCTATTGTATAAGCTCATCTTGTACATTGTCTCTGGGCTTTTGCTTGTTCCTATTTCCGTTATCCTTACTTTTGCTGACCATAATTGCCTTTAAGTAGATTTGGATTGTTAGAGTTGTTTTTATTAGTAAAGATTATATCTTGTTCTCAACATACTTTTGTACTTTGATTTCCATCAATGTAGATCTATTCACATAATTATTTTGAATAAGGGCTGCTTAACTTGAATTCAAAGAATGATAACTTAGTTAAAAAGTACACAATAGATTTTTAAAATTTTTACTTTTATGCATGCGTGTGTGTGTGTGTGTGTGTGTGTGTGTGTGTGTATATGTAGGGGATAGATAAGGGCATCAGATCCTTGGAGCTTGGAATTACAGGCAGTTATGAGCTGCTCTTAATTGCTGAGCCGTCTCTCCAGCCCCCAAAAGTACATAACAGGGTTGCCTCTGGAAATATACACTGGGCATCTGAAATTATTTAAAAGGATTGTTGTAACTTTTTCTTAAATTAATCGAGGCGTCCATTATATATCTGATTAAAGTTTAACAGATCCCTATGGGATCTAAATTACTAGATCATGATAATGAATAAAGATGCAAAGAGAATTTAAGAATTCTTGCAGAGTTTCTCCTTTCATGTGTTAGTGTTTTAAACCTTAATTTCTGATTGCCCATCAAGCTTATATTGATTTTGTGTGATTGTAATTTTACTTTATTTAATTTGGGGTGTTGTGTGTGTGTGTGTGTGTGTGTGTGTGTGTGTGTGTGTGTGTACGCACCTTTTCTATAACATGCATGATGTGGATGTCAAAGGAAGACTTTCTGGAGTCTGCTCTTTCCTTCCACCATATGGGTTCTGGGGATCAGACTCAGGTTGTCAGACTTGTGTAGCAAGCACTTTTATATACTGAGCCATCTGAGCCATCTCTGTGGCCCTCTAGGATTATATTTTTATTTGGAATGAAGCTAAGGATTGGTGGTGAAGGCCTGAAGTGAGCTCTGTCTCAAAAGTAAAACTGAAAAAGTAGGCTGCTCTAGCTCAGTGATAGAGTATATATGAGACCCTGGGCTCAATTCCCAGTAGCACAGATACACAATTAGAATCCAAGTAGATCTTTACTAGTTTTAAAAAGCATAGCTGAAACACTCTCATAGTAGTACCTTTTGAGGGTTTTGTACTCAGACCTTTCTGAGAGGAAGTTGAGGTGTCATTGTGTAAAACAGATTTTGTCACAGATTTTTCATGGCCTTTGTTCATAAGTTTGACAGTTTAAATACCCTAGGTCATGTTTTTTAAGTAACAGTTTATAATCAAAGGGAGGGCAAGTTGTTTTGTTTGAGGAAATGAATTTTTTAAAAATGTCTAAATAACTTATTTCAAAGGTATTGCGATTAAAGAGTCAGCAAAAGTAGGTGATCAAGCCCAGAGGAGGGTGATGAAAGGTGTGGATGACCTAGACTTCTTCATTGGTGATGAAGCAATAGAAAAACCTACATATGCGACAAAGGTACGTTTCTGTGGTTTATATAAAGAAATATGATCTTCTTTCAAAAGTAGTGAGTTAAGCTCTTAACCATAGGTGTATCTTCTCTGTGGCTTAATTGCTGCCCTCTGTCGGGGAGGGAGGATTTTAAGCTATAGAAGTAGAAGTGAACAGATTTACTTTCCCATACCCACATGATCTTGGGGCCCTCAGTGGGTTTGAGTTTTCTTTTCCTCTGCATTGCCATATCTAGAGGGAGCCCCCCTAGATTCAAACACAAACCTTTTGTTTTGGAAGCTTAAGTCATCTAGAAATACTGTTCTTTCTTCTACCTTTTCCATCTCTTCTTTCTTGCCCAAATCCTCTCAGTTGAAATATAACTTATACACAGTAGTATGTCAAGTCTTCATTGTACATCTTTAGGGGTTTTTATGACCACCTCTATGAGTTCAAGAGCAAATCTAGTAACAGAGAAGTTTCCTCTATGTGCTTGTCAACAGCTCTCACCTCAGTGTTTCCAGAAGGCAAACACTGACCTTCCTTGAGTTTGCACATTTCCTCTTTTGTGCTTTCTTCTTTCTCTTCTAATTTGTTAATGAATAACCACTGTATGTAAAACAAAACAAAAACTTTGCTGTCTGCTGAGAAGAAAGTGGAAAATAAGAACCAGCTTCTTTGCCTGGCTTGATAGACTATTTATAATGTAGTAAAAAGGGAAACATTGAAAAATTATTATGGATTGTAGGGTTAGTAAAAGAGAAGCATAAGATATCTGGGCATGTGCCACAGGAGTATCTTGCCTAGTTGGGGGATTTAGCAGTCCTTGAGGAATAATAAATCATTAAGCTGAAATATAAAATAGGAGTTAGGTGAGGTCTGCAAGCAGAGTAGCCAGTATACAAGAAGACTTTAGTATGAAGGAGACCAGAGCAGCACAGCTCACCTCACATACATGAAACAAAAAGAAAGAAGTCCAGGGGCTGCATAGGCACCAGGATCTCTAACCTGCAGGCAGCATTCATGGGTTTCCTAGATGAACAGTGGTAATGAGGCTGCCTGTGGGAACTTGAGTTCTGGTTGTGCTCTTTCTGGTTCCATGATGTCATTCAGTGGCTTAATTTCTGTGTTCAGCTTATTAATCTATATAATGGAACTATTAGTACTTCAGGGTTGTTGGGAACCTTAATCAGAGAATCCATGTAAAGAAATTATTGTAGTGCTTTGAACAGTGAAGAGAAATTATGGAAGGGGAGGCAAGCATGATTCTGAGGAAATGGGATAAGACAGGATGTTAGTAGCTTGGACTAAGGTGATAGCAGTAAGGATAGAGAGAAATGAAAATCATGTGTGCTCACATGTGTAAATGCTAAAACGTTAGAATAGAAAAACTCATATCTAAAAGAGAAAAGCACTGGATAAGGTGGTGTACTCTTTAAGCCAGCACTCCCAGAGGCAGAGGCAGCCCTGGTCTATACACTGAGTTCCTGTCAGGCCAGGGCTGCATGGTGAGACTTGGTTTCCAAACAACAACAAAACAAATGAAGAAAAAATACCATAACTTAGTTTTGGCAATTATCAACTTGTAAATAATCTTACTTTGTTGACTCTTTTCCCTATTTATTTTATAGTAAATCATATGTACTTATCTCTTAATATTATTCAATATCTTCTAGTCAGTGCTTAGTAAATTTCCATGATTGTTACTTATATTGGTTAATTTGTTTGGATCAAGATTAGATCTGCTCATTAGATTTAGTTGATAAGCCTAAGCCTTGTGAGTCTTTTGTTTTTTTTTTTTTGCCATTCGCATTTTATCTTTTTTTCTTACCATTTGCTTATAGAGGGAAAAATACCTATCAAATATAAACCTTATTGTGGATTCTACTGATTAGATATTTGTGTCATTTAATGGGATCTACCACTTATACATGTACTTTTTTTGGCGGGGGGTTCTTTTTGAGACAGGTCTCCCTGTAGTTCCAGCTGGTCTTGGACTCGCTATTGAGGCCAGGCTGGCTTTGAACTCACAGAGATCTGCCTGCCTCTGTCTCCTGAGTGCTGGGATTAAAGAAGTGTACCACCATGCCCGGCATATATTTACTTTTGCATAGAAATTTAAAAGTCTGACCTAGAAGTGTGTGAAAATTTATTTTTGTCAAGAGTAAAAAAGTATTTAAAGAGTAACCAAGAATGATTAGTGAGATACCATTGGTAACTAGGTACAGTAATTGAGGGTACTTCTAGTTCCCATGTAGTTTTATTCCTTATCTCTTGAGATTAAGAACATTAAAAGAAGAGTATTGGGGTGGTATAGGGAGGAGAGAATACGTTGAACTTTTAGTACATTGTTTATTTGAAGTACCTGTGAGGCATCTGACATATTTCCAGACAGTTCAATGTGTGGGCTTTGGAGCTCAAAAACAAAAAAGACAGCTAAAGACAGAGATAAGGGAGATATCAGTTACTTTGGGAGGTTAATGCAGTTATCAGGGAAGTCCATAGCAAGAGATGAGCCTGAGAAGTGCACTAAGTAAGTAGCCTTGAGTAGAGAGGGACAGAATGAGTGTACAGATAAATAGCATGGAATATCAAGAAAGATACCTGATAAATGAGATAGTGAGTAGGTTGGAGTGCGTAGTTTTACAAGTATAGAGGAGCTAGGTGAATGCAGTTTGTGAATGGTTAATCAGGTAAAGAAAAACAATAAGGGTACTATTTCATGAGGTTTGATTGTGACTGGGAGAGGGAGAGATGATAGATTGCCTGATTAAGATGGGAGAGAGGTTTAAATGCTAAGTTCTAGTCTAGAAACCTGAAAGATGACACATAAAGTCTTTGAGAAAGCTTAGAGGAATGAGATCTAAAGTACAGATCAAATTTTAAATGGGGTGGAACTGGACTGACTTGGGAAATGGCTTAGCAGTTAAGTGTTTGCTGATCTTGCAGAAGATCCAAGTTTTGTTCCCAGCCCCCACATTGGGCAGCTTACAACCACTTGTAAATCCAGCTCCAGGGGGTTAGACACCCTTTTAACCTTTGGGGGGCACGTGCACTCATGTGCACATACACATAGATACATATAATTAAAAATAAAATAAATATTTTTAAAATTGGTGCTGAGAATATTACTAACATTATAGTAGAAGTTCTGCAGATTTAGTGAAGGAGATTACATTCTTGGCTCTTGAATTTTTCCTTTCTCTGTGAAAGACACTTGGTGTCGCCTGCTGTTCAGGGGAAGGGTTCCTGGGAAAATGTGAAATCAGTGTGGTCAAGTCACTGAAGAATCATCGTTGTGGAGAATCAGGGTGAGCATAATGCAGACTGGCCAGACAGTGAAGTTCTTTGAAAAGAACAAATCAAGTGTGGATTCTTAGTGTGCCCCCCCTTTAGCCCCAGTGCCTCATTTAAAAAATGTAACTTTTGGAACCTTTTCTGCCTTCAATACCTTAATACAACTTCCTGCTCCTTGGTAAGTATGATATTTTGATGCTGTTCCAGACACATGCAGCATATACAGAACCACCATAGGATCTGCTGATAGGTTTTTTTGTTTTAGGCAGATTCATGAGACTCTCAGTCTCACAGCATGAACCCCCTCCAAGTTCATAAGCCACATGTAAATTTGGTATTCTCTCTACCTTTATGGTATAAAAGGAAAGAATCTATTACCAGAGATCAATGAAAGAGCTGAAGTCTTTGTTATCAGTCCATGCACACATAACTGTATACTGTCAACATTGTGGGTGTAGATGGGTTTTCACGGCAGGGTCATGATAGGTTGGGTGTGGATAGATAGCATCAGAGTTGATGGGGCATAAAAATCCACTCTGTGTGTGTGTGTGTGTGTATCTTCATGGTTAGGGAGTGTTAGGACAGGGGACTGAAAATCTTAGTCATGGTCATAAGAGGTGTATTGAGGGAGTATTGTTTGCTAGACTAGTAAGGAATAATGATTAGAGAAGACTGCCTGGGTTTCAGGGATTTAGGGATGATGGTAAGGATGAGAACTAAACTGGCCAAAATAGAAAAGAAATCATTGAAGGTGAAGTCTGTGAGCCAAGAGGCCATTCTTTTCTTCCACAGATTCTGTCAGACACATTTCAGGTCACAATTGCTATGAACAGAGCTGCTCTCCACCTTATTCCTACCTTTAGTCCTCAGGGACTTAGCTATGCTTCATTTACTCTTTCCTTTTAATACCAGACCTTTATGAATTTCAAATTATTTTCTCTGTTGAATCCAATCACGTGTCTTTTTGACATGTTTGTTTCCTAAAATTATTTCTCTTTTAATCTTCTCTCTTTTTTTAAAAGGTCCTTTGTGTGTGTGTGTGTGTGTGTGTGTGTATGTATGTGTGTATGTGTATGTGTATGTGTACATCTGCCACAGAGCACGTGTGGAGGTCAGAGGAAACTTTCAGGAGTCTGATATCTTTCCTCCAAGGGTTCCTGTGATGGAACTCAGGTCGTCAGGCTTACACAGGAGAGAGGTCTTTTACCCTCTCAGCCATCCGCTGGGCCCTACTCTTGGTTCTCTGCCTCACATTTTCCCCTATTGTCACTGATTCTGCCTTTACTGCTTTCCCAGTGTTAGTATCTCCTAAGCACTGCCCTCGGTTTACTTTACTCTCTTCTCCTTCCGTTCTCCCTCTTTTCCCGTTCTACTCTCCTATGATAGAACACAGTCCAAGTGCAAAGCAAACATGGTTTTGAGAATCTGGTCCCCTTGACTGAAGGTAGCCTTCATGTACTTTTAGACATGCAGTTTCATTAGTAGCTTCAGTGTCTATTTTGGTCTATTATGCATTATTTACTTTATCTTTTTCTAATCTTTATATGTTCTTTCCTACTTTGTCTCATCCTCCCCTCTACCTCCCAGAAAAGACAAAAGCTAAAACTTGAGATCTCTGTTTAAGAACTGTTATAGATACGACTTTCTCAGTTAAACCTTCATTTGCAAGCCATTTTGTTGATCGTCTTGTTCTGGAGATAGATTTTATTTCTTTAAAAATCTAATTTAGAGACTTCTGTTGTGCTGGGCATGGTGGTACACATATTTAAGCCCAGTACTCAGGAGACAGAGGCAGGTGGATCCCTGAATTCAAGGCCAGCCTGGTCTACATAGCAAGTTCAGGCCAGCTAGCTGTTACATAGTGAGACCCCTGTCCCAAAGAGAAAGAAAGAATAAAAACAGGTCTTAACAATGTGCTGGGTGGGGTAGTGCATACCTATAAACCCAGCACTCTAGAGGCTGAAGCAGGGAGGCATCATGTGACCTGAGCTACATAACAAATGTGAGGGTAGCCAGGGATACACTGAAAGACCCTGTCTCAAAATCAGTCAATCATAACGTACAATGAAACATTTGTTTTTATTTTCTTCTTTTACTAGAAAGAAGGCTTTTTTAGTAGTAGCTCACAGCACCCTTCAATAATTGCTGAATAGATAACATTTAGAATGTTTTTAAAATTAATTTTTAATTTATTTTTACTGTTTTTTTATTGAAGTTTTTGTACATTTCATACTATACATCTTAATCATATTTAGACTCGCCTTTCTCTCTCTGCACACCTCCCCCCCATAGCCACCGGATTTCATGCATTCTGTCATATATGTTAAGGTCTGTTGAGTTAAGTTTGTGTTCCCAAATGTCCCTTGGTGTGAATTTATCAACTGGAGCCTGTTCAGCCTATCACTTAGAACATTTAAATTGGTAAATTTCCACTAGTGATCCTTCTCTGAAGCAAACCAGGGAGTATGTCTTTTTGTTGTCATTTGTTAGTGTTTTGAAACAGACCTTTCCACATGGCTCAGGCTAGCCTCTAATAAACGCAAGATTTTCTTGCCACAGCTCCCCCAGGGTTGATAATTACATCTGTGTGTGCTACCACACCCAATTTAAAGTCCTTTTATAATGCTATAACATGTCTTAAGCGTTGAAGAGGCTGGGGGTACTAAGGACCAAATACTATGGTTATTTACTCATTCATCCTTAGATATTGATTTGGGAACCTACTCAGTGCCTCCATTTTCAAAAAAAAAAAAATGTAGCAGTTGATTTAGGTGGCTAGGTTCAAGAAGTAACCACATGTAAAAGCAGCTTAAGTCAAAAGGGAAATACTTTTACTTTCTTTTTACATCATTAGTGTGTTTATGCCTGTTAGACCCTGGATAGCTGCTCAGACAGGGAATGGATTGGACATTGCCACTTTCTTCTTTTTTTGATAGGGTCTCATTGTGCAGTCCTGGCTGGCCTTGAACTTGACATGTAGACCAGGCTCGTCTTGAACTTGACAGAGATCTGCCTCTGCCTCCTGAGAGCTGGACTATGTCACCATGCCCAGCAGACATTGTCACTTAAACTTCTTGTTTTACATGGATTTTATTTTGTGTGATACTTGGTTTTTATCACAGCAGCAGCAGAAAACTTTTCAAAGAAGTGCAGTCATAGAAAGAGCATGCTCTGATGTTGGAGCTGCTCACTAGCTAGCGCATGGCATTTGTCTGGTGTATGTATCTCTGGGAAATTTAAAACCTTGTCCATAGGAGTCATCCTTATGAATTTGCTGTAGTAACCTGAATGCCCTGGTACACTTTTAGAACGTGGGTCTATACAAGTACTTATAACCTTCTTAGAAATTAAATTTTGTATGCTTAATTATTATTCTAGCTATTATATATACTTACTATTTTTATTTATTGATGTAGTATTACTATTTTGAACTCTATTAACATGACCTTCCATCTAAAATTTTTAAACATTTTTGTTTTAAAAAATTTTATCCATATGTTTTACCTGCATTCAAGGTAAAAGTACATCTGTGTCATGTAGTGCCCACGGAGGTCAGAAGAGGGCATCGGATCCCAAACTGGAGCTACAGATGGTTTTTAGCTGCCATGTGGATATGGGAACCAAATCTGGGTCCTCAGGAAGAGTGGCCAGTGCTCTTAACTTTTGATGTACCTTCTCTAGCCCCCTTTTAAGAATATTTTTGATATATTCATCTTATATTTTCTCTTCAAGCACCTGAGTATACATTATAGAAATACTTTAATTTATCTCTGTATCTGTACTTCAGTGTCTAGCCTAAGTACCTGTGGTGTCATCACACCTAAAGAATTACATCCTTTGCAAGTATCTATTAGTGATCTAATATTCCCTATTTTTGTGTTTGTAGAGTTTACATTAATAAGACATAATTTGCGGATTTTGTTTTAATAGTGGCCAATCCGCCATGGTATAGTTGAAGATTGGGATTTAATGGAAAGATTTATGGAGCAAGTGATTTTTAAATATTTAAGGGCAGAACCCGAAGACCATTATTTTCTTTTGGTAAGTACACGGTATGACTTACTATTTTTGTTTTGTTTTGTTTTGTTTTGAGATAGGGTATGTAGCTCAGATTAGACTTGAACTCAAGAAGGATGTCCTTGAAAGGATTGTTCTCCCTCAGTCTTTCATGCTAAGATTACAGGTATTCACCACCCCCCCTCAGGGATCTACTGGATAAATTTTAAGATTTGAATGACAACCCTTGTCAACATAAATAACATACTATCAACCTGAAGAGGGTTCTCTTGGCCTTCCCTAATGTATGCTTCCCATTCCCTAGAGGCAAGCACTGTTCTGTTTTTTGTTTTGTTTTTAGAAGGTGAGATTAACATATAAATGAAATCTTACATGGTGTGTTGTGGTAAACTTATGTCATGAAGCATAATCTTGAGATTCAGCCCTTGTTTTCTATTTTTGATTAGTACAGTTTAGCTATTTTGAACATTATTGTACAGGTTTCTTTATGGACATACTCTCATTTCTCTTGTGATTGGACATGTGGACTTGCTTTGATTTTTATGACAGGTGCATTACTGGTTTTGTAGGATTAGAGCATTGTCCACTTTTCACACTATCAACACTGTTAGTAGTCTGATTGCTCCTACATTCTATTTAGCATTCTTGGTGTGTTAGTCTTTAGTTTTAGTCATTATGGTAGGTATACAGGAATTCCCAATTTGGCTTTAATTTGCATTTTTCTGGTCACTCAGTGGTATCAAACACTTCTGTTTGGGGAATCTTTTAATACAAGTAACTGTGCTGTTTTCATATATGTATAAGTCTGTTTTAGTTTTCCTATAGTCTTTCTGCCTGTAAATGTAATTCCTTTTAAACATATATAATAAATTATTAATTTTAAAAATTGCCTATAAATTTCCAAAATAATGTTATTTTTTATTTAAAATGTTATTCAATTCAATAGACTGAACCTCCACTGAATACTCCAGAAAACAGGGAATATACTGCTGAAATAATGTTTGAGTCATTCAATGTTCCAGGCCTGTACATTGCTGTGCAGGTAAGCAAATTCTACATATTTAAGCTTGACTTTCACGTTTTATTCAGGCTTCATTTACTCCTAAAATGTGCGTATCTTTCTTTCTGGTGAAAGCTTAACCATAATTCAAATCATACCATAGTTCTCCAGAGTTGATAATTTAGAACAGTTAGGAAACAGAGTTATTTAGACAGGGGGATAAAAAGAATTTCTAAAGAAAGTAGGTTAATAGGACTGACAAGGTGACTTAGTAGGTAAAGGTACTTGCTGCCAAGTTTGACAGCCTGAGTTCAATCCCCAGGGTCTACAGGGTGGAAGGAGAGAATGGACCTCCTGCAAGTTGTCTTCTGACCTCCACACCTCTCACACCTCTAATTTTTTTCAGTTCCTAAATATGTGTATGTGTGTGTTTCTTTTTCCCTCTTTATTTCTTTTGTTTATTTAGAGATAGGATCTCATTTTGTAACCCAGGCTGACCTTTAATTCATTATGTAGACCTGGCTGACCTTGAATTTGTGATCCTCCTGCTTCAGCCTCCCAAGTGCTGGATTACAGGCATGTGCTAGCATGTGTGCTGTATTTTGTTTGATTTTTTTTTTTTTTTTAGACTGGGTTTTTATAGTGTAACCGGGCTGGCCTAGAACTTCCTGTTATGCAGAGCTCCTGTTACACAGAGCTGACTGGCATTGGACTTGAGGTCCTTGTGCTTCAGTCTCTCGAGTGCTATGCCGTTCCTGGCTTCCTCACTTAGCACTTTTCATTCACTCATTTAACGTCTGTTCTGTTCCGAAGTCAGTAAGATTTCTGTAACACAGGGTGATAATATATATTCTAGTTTGGGTCTTAATTGTAGAAATGATCAAAAGATAGTTTCTAGTTGTAAATGACGGATAGATTTGAACTCCTAAAAAAGAGGGTATTTCAAAATGAAGTCTTTCACAGCTTTCCTTTTCACGTATGAAAACTTTCATTGTGAAACTTGAAATTGTATTTAAATTGTATTGTCATTATATTAAAATGATCTTTTGTTAAAATGGAAGGGTGAGCCAGGTATGATGACTTGGCTACATATAATTCAGGAGGTTGAGGCAGGAGGATTTGTGAGGGGTTTTTTTTTTGTTTTGTTTTTTGTTTTTTTCAAGTAGGAAGGTTAGACTAGATACCTTTTTAGCTATTGTATTGCAAGTAGGTAAATTATTTCTCTCTGTTCCTAGTTATACTCAAATATCCTGGTAAGAAATTAACTTTTTTTTTTTGAGACAGGGTCTCCCTATAGCCCAAGCAGTCCTGGAACTCACTATGTAGACCAGGCTGGCCTTGAACTCACAGAGATCTGCCTGCCTCTTTCTCCCGAGTGCTGGGATTAAAGGCATGCGCCACCATGCCCAGCAAGAAATTAACTTTTAAAAAATAAATTCTATTTATAGTCTTAGTTTTCCAAGTTTTATTTTTCAAAAATATTTTTTAAAGAAAAGAATTGTGTTGTATTGGCCATGGCAAGCTATTTCCTAAGAAAAATGGTATAGTATCTCATCAGTTTTGTTTTCTGATTAGCTCATAGTGTTTGGAAGTATACAATGGTCTTTTCAGTTAAGTACTTATTACTGGCCCTAACTGCCAGTTGACTTTAAGAACTTTAAATAAAGTTTTAAGAATGATTGTTTTTTTATTTGTTTTGATGATCGGATAGTTGTGTCCTTTTTACCTGGTAATTTTTAACAGACCATGTGAAAATGTTTTAAGTTCTGGCAATGCAGTTTTATAAATGTAACTCTTTGATGTTCCTCTTGGTAATGTTTTTGACTTTAGTAGAAAAACGATCCTTACTGAAACCTGTGAACTTTCTAAATGTTCTCTTGAGAGCAAAACAAACCTGTAAATTTCTCATAATAAAAATAGAAAGTAAACAGTTTTCTATTTTCTTTCTATAAATTTTACATTTAAATTCGAATAAAGTACTCTTAAACTTTTTTTCTAGTAATTCTTTAACAGTTTTAATTTTGTCTGTCCTTTGTTTTCAAGGCTGTTCTTGCCTTAGCTGCATCCTGGACCTCAAGACAAGTAGGAGAACGGACACTGACGGGGACGGTAATAGACAGTGGCGACGGAGTCACTCACGTCATTCCTGTGGTAAGGATGGTGAAAAAAATGCCTGAATGCAACGTGAAATGACTCATCAGGAAGGTTAAATAATATGAATAAGGACACTTTTACAAAATGTACAAGCTCTTTCCACTTTTCTCCATCCTTCTGGACCACCATCATGGTGCATGTGAATGTCCTGACTGAAGCTTACAGGAGCATCACCAGTGCTGAAAAGAGGCAAATGCCAGGTTATTGTCAGGCTATGCTCCAAAGTCTCAGTTCTGTTTGTAACTATGGTAATCACAGAGCTGGGACATCTTTGTGAATCTCACAGGCAGCTTAGATACAGGAGAGTGATCAGCCCCAGATTTGACCTACAGCTCAGAGAACTAGGGAAATGGCAGAACAGTCTGCTCCTATCCCTCCAGTTTGGTTTCATTGTACTGACAACTTCAGCTGGTATCCTGGATCATGAAGGAGCAAGACAAAAAGACACAGGAGGGATATCCTGGGATTGCTTTTCTCAGTGAGCTCAAACAACACATGACAGTTTATCAGTAAAATGTAGGTTACACTTGGCAGCAACAGTCTTTCTATGTGAATAGATTTGCCTGTCTAGTAACATCATATAAATGGAAACATGTACTCTGTGGTCTTTTGTGACTGGCTGTGTTCTCTTAGCCTGACGTTTTCAAAATCATCTATGTTGTAGCATATATATCAGTTCATTTCTTTATATTGCTAAGTAACATTTTACTGTGTAGGTACCACCTTTTGTTCAACCTTTGGATGTGTCTTAGTATCTTAGTTATTAGGATGTGTCCAGCATTTGATAGCTTTTATAATTTATGATAGCTCATTTTTCTTTCTTAGTGGTACCTAAAATAATTATGGAGTGTGGGGTAGATCACTCAGTAAGAGCAGTTCTTCTGTAAGCATGAAGACCTGAGTCCCTGGCACCCACATAAAAAGCGGGGCAAGACTGTGGATGCCTATAAGCCCAGCATTGGGGGACAGAGAGAAGACGTCCCAAGACCTTGCTGGCCTAGCGATGAACAGTGAGCTGATCAAGTGAGAGACCCTATTTCAAGGCAGTAAGAGGATGATAAAGGAAGACACCAATGTCTGTCCCAGCTTTTCCAAATGTTGGGATCACAGGCATGTCTACCATATCTGCCTGAGAAATGAGTTTTTATTTTTTAATTAACTTTTTAAAATGTACTTTTTAAAAATTTTTTATTACTGTGTTAAAGTGGGATGGGGTGTGTGTGTATCAGGGCATGCCTGTAGAAGTTAGAGGACAACTTTGTGGAGTTGGTTCTCTCCTGTTTTGTGGGTTCTAGGGATCAAACTCAGGTTGGTAGTCTTCGAAGCAAATGCTTTACCCTTTGAGCCTTCTTGCAAGTCTGAGAATACTGAGAGTGAATTTGACACCTTTTTTCCCTCCCAGGCTGAAGGGTATGTAATCGGCAGCTGTATTAAACACATTCCAATCGCAGGACGAGATATAACATATTTTATTCAGCAACTGTTGCGAGATCGGGAAGTAGGAATCCCTCCAGAACAGTCCCTGGAAACTGCAAAAGCAGTGAAGGTAAAATGGTAGTGATGGAATTGTGTTCAGCCCAAAATACAAGTCACATGCATAGCAATGACAGAAGAAGAATTCATCAACACTGAAGTCTTGTCAGCCAGTCACGAATGATTCCTCTCAGTTAGTTTTCTCTATTCTTCACAAGGAAATCGGGGCTCTCCACACTTCAAACTGAATGAACTAGCACAAGAATTTTTTAAAACTATTTTATGTCTATGAGTGTTTTGCCTACTTGTATGGAAGTGTGCCTTTGAGTGCAGTGGAAACAGGCCAGAAGAGGGTGTTGGTTCCTCTGAAACTGGAATTATACGTGGTAGTTGGCCAGCATGAGGGTGCTGGGAACTGAACCAGGTCCTCTACAAGAGTAGCCAGCGTTCTTAACCACTGAGCTAGATGTCCAGCCCATACAAGAATGTTTTAGCAAGTATACAAACATACAATTTTGTGATTGTTCCTTTTATTAATAGTAAAGATTTAGTTTACCCTGGAATCATTACCTCTTGGTTTACTTACTGACTATCTTAATTCTAACAGCTTTCCTTTATTAAAGTTGTTTTGATGTAACTGACTCACTGAGCTCTGGTGTAGAGGCCCTGTGTGGCTCAAGTGATATGGCACAGGAAACTGAGGCACTTTGGGATTTTCCATTTTTGGGGGGGGGGGGTGCATATAAACTCAATTATATCAGTGTTTTGTGCATGCTATCCATATATTCCTCATTTTTTGGTATTGCTGTTCAGATTTGCAATTGAGCAGTAAAACAATTTTTTGTAGTTCTCATGCTTTAAATATGTGAAAGTAAAACTGCTCTTGTGAAAATAACTACATTTATTTTCACCTCTTTGTATTACATGTATGAGGTTTCTTTCTTTATTCTTTCAAGCTTAGGAATGAAGATGCTTGAAAGACACAGGAAATAGTTTTCCTGTGTATTAAAGAAACCACCCAAAGTTACCTCAAAGTGGTAACCTAAAACCTAAGTATGAACGCTATTGTTCCTATTTCTTTGGGGAATGTATGGCATTAAAACAAAGGAAATCACACAAACGATAAGAATTTAAATTTATTCCAGGGAAAACTGATGTTCAGGTAATTGTCTTTTTGGTGTGTGGTTTTTGTTTTTGTTTTGTCTTTTGAGACAGGGTTCCCTTATAGTCTTAACTGGCCTGGAACTTGCTGTGTAGACCAGGCTGGCCTCAATCTCACAAAGATCCACCTGCTTTCCAGGGTGCTGTGCCACCACACTGAACCTCAGGCAAATGTTTTTTAAGGAACATCTCTTTATACCTTTCACCTTCCAAGGTTTGGAGAGAAAAGATATGTAAGGTTAATGAAGTTTATCCCCATTTTCTAGGAATCTTTTCCATTATGTCTTTTTGTTATTAGTGATAATATTTGCATCTATCTTGGAAAATGTCCTTGATGTGTAAAATTATGGGAAAAGTGTGTATATTACTCACAATTCCCAAGAGGAGTAGAACCAGTGGATTATAGTCAGAGACATGGCTAGGATAATCACATGGACTAATTCAGTCTTGCAGATAATAGCAAAGTAGTTTGTATTTTCTTCCTTTTTCCTTTACCCCTTTACTTTGATCAGCATTAGTTTTGACCTATATTAATTTGTATAGTTAACAGCAATTCTTTTTTATTTGTGTGTACTATATTAGTTTTCTTTTCTAGAATGTTTTTACTGAAGTAATATAAGATGGTGAGGTCTTTAATGTTTTCAGAAAATAACATTAAAATAGTGAAGACTGAGTCTAATCTTGCAAATTTTAGTTCAGTTGACAAATGAAGTCAGAAATTATATATAGATGAGCCAGCATTTGTACTGTACAGTATGATACTTTAGCATGAATTTTTCCCACTATAATTTCCTAATTTTATTTAATGAAGATGTTTTTCATTTGATTCTGTTTTATACTATTCACTATCCTATTTTTACTTTTCCTAAAGTGAGCTGAAAAAATTACCTTTGTTTCTTTGTTTTCATTTTTAAGGAACGCTATAGTTATGTCTGCCCAGATTTAGTAAAAGAGTTTAACAAGTATGACACAGATGGGTCAAAGTGGATTAAACAGTACACTGGAGTCAATGCTATCTCAAAGAAAGAATTCTCCATTGATGTTGGTTATGAGAGATTCTTGGGACCTGAAATCTTTTTTCATCCAGAGGTAAGCTTGTTTTCTAATCATTTAGAAATTGGAAAGGCTCTGGAAAATACCTTTCCTCACAGTGTAAAATGGCCATTGTACATAGAATCTTCAATTGACTGTCATATTTAATAGAATAGTCTCTTATCTCTGAAATCTAAGGAACATAAATACTATCTTAAACTACTGAGTTGGGTGCTTATTAATAATATAATAAATTCTTCAGGTAACAGTTTTAGGAATTTAACTTTTTTTTTTTTTTGTCTTTTTGAGACAGGGTCTCCCTGTAGCCCCAGCTGGCCTGGAACTCAGTATGTATACCAGGCTGGCCTCAAACTCACAGAGATCCTCCTGCCTCTGCCTCCCAAGTGCTGGGATTAAAGGTGTGCACAACGCTCGGCTGTTAATAGAACTTTTAATATTCAATGCCTATTGTACTTAGCATCAAAAACAGTTTTTGTTTCTGTTTTTTCACTTAACACGTAGTACCTGTGACTTTCATATTCTCAGATAAGATGGAATATTATGGGACTGGAGAGATGACTCAGCAGTTAGGAGCACTGACTGCTCTTGCAGAGGACCCAGGTTCAATTCCCAGCACCTACATGGTGGTGAGCAACTGTCCATAACTCCTGTTCCAAGGGAATGCGACACCCTCTTCTGACCTCTGAGGGCATTTCCCAACACAGGTGTACTTACATACATGCAGGCAATACACTCATATACATAAAATGAAAATAACAAAATATTTTTTTAAAAAGATGAAAGATTGTTTAATCTTACCCTTATTGAGCTCAGGATAAGCAAGAATTAAATAGGAGTAATTGCTTTAACAAACACTAATACCTGTTGAGGGTGTAGAGAAACTCTGAGTGCTTGAGAACCAGGGAAGCTTCTCAGGAGATACAAACAGGTCAGCTGAACTGTTGGATGGGTATTTGTCGCATCTATGCTAGGCAATCTTCAACATGGAAGTAACAGATGTATTTAAAAGGTTCTAAGCCGGGCGTGGTGGCTCACGCCTTTAATCCCAACACTTGGGAGGCAGAGGCAGGAGGATCTCTGTGAGTTCGAGGCCAGCCTGGTATACATACTGAGTTCCAGGCCAGTTGGGGCTACAGGGAGACCCTGTCTCAAAAAGACAAAAAAAAAAAAAGGTTCTAAAGTGGAAGAAAGATCTGAATTGTGTTAGAAGATGGTGAGTTCATTGTAGTTTTCAGGTGAATTAATGTCTAGATCATTGAGAAAGGAGGTAAAGGAGAATAATTGCTTAAATGAGAGGGGAGTAAGAATATGAAGAGTCTGCATTGATTTTGAGCTTCAGAATGAGTAACTTGCACATGCTGACAGGTGCGTGGAGGAATGCTAGAAAGGAGAGTAGGTATGGTGGCAACAGATGAGTTTCTTTGTAAACTCTTTAACATATTCTTTTAATTGAATTTTTGTGCATTTCATACATCTTAATCATATTTAGACACACTCCCCCACCATCTGTCCCCCCCATATCCTGCCCACCAGATTTCTTGCATTCTGTCATATGTTGAGGTCTATTGAGTCAAGTTTATGTTTCAGTGTGAGTTCATCCACTGGAGCCTGGTCAGCGTATCTAATATCACTCTTTAAAGAAGACCCTCGCTGAGCAGGGATCAGCTACCAATAGTTGCTTGGCTAAGGTTGGGGTGTTCGTGCCCATTTCCCCTTTTCTATGCTTTGTTTGATGTGCCAGTCATTGTTGTGGTTATTAGACTTTAAAACTGGTGGCGGTTTTCACTTTTAATAAGTTTACAGTGAATCTATTTTATGTAAAATGTGTGGGTGAGAATTCCTTTTGGGGATTTTGGAAGAAGCAAAGCCACTACGGTGTGCATTTGAACCTTTTATTAGCTATTGCCAAATGTTTTCCAAATGGTAGTTTGAAATACACATATTCTCTTAGCAATGTACAGTAGCTCTTAACTCTGATGTTTGCCAGCTCATAGTGTATGAGTGACTTTATGTGCTCCATCTCCTTGTACTTATAGGATGACATATATCATCATTATTTTATTTGCATTTCTTCTGAAATCTGTTTTCAACAGCTTTCTAAGACCTCTGGAACTGGATACTTTGACTTTTTATTCTATGATATTTAAGTAAATAGCAATGTATCTCTCATTTTTAAATTTACTTATTTTTCAGTTTGCTAATCCAGATTTTACACAGCCTATCTCAGAAGTCGTAGATGAAGTCATTCAGAATTGCCCAATTGATGTTAGGCGTCCTCTCTACAAGGTCAGTGTTTACAGCAAAACCATGTGGATATGTTTGGGGATTATATTATTTTAATATAATATTTTTAAAACCTTTATTTTCTGCCATTGTTGAGTTAAGATCATAATTGTTGTTTTTCCCACTGATACAGAATATTGTCCTTTCTGGAGGTTCAACCATGTTCAGGGACTTTGGACGTCGCTTGCAGAGAGATTTAAAAAGAACTGTCGATGCCAGGCTGAAATTAAGTGAGGAGCTGAGTGGCGGTAGATTGAAGGTTGGTTTTCCTCAGCTCTTGCTGAAAACCCTTATTATTGCAGTGGAGGCAGGAATGTTGGCCAGCTTCTCTCACTTAGGAGCACTAAGAGGAATTTACCAGTTGCAATGGAAAGTGCTTACTGTTCATAGATTCGTGGTATGATATTCTGGCTCATTCGATCTGTTTTAAGGTCTGTTGAGTAATGGCATGACTTGATACTCAGACTGTCAGTTCACATAATAGATGTGGTTTGTCTTTTTGAGATGGGGTCTCCCTATAGTCCCAGCTGCCCTGGAACTCACTATGTAGACCAAATTTGTTTCAGTCTCACAAAAATTGACCTTCCTCTGCCTCTCAAGTTCTGAGATTAAAGGCACGTACTACCATGCCCAACACATGATGGTTTTTTTTTTATGTTTACTTTTCTCTTTCTCGACCAACTAATTCATATATATATATATACACACACACATATACACACACACACAAATGTATACACAACATACATGTGTATATATATGTATATATACACACATCTCCTACTAGAAGAAAAGGTTTATTTGCGTTTTACAGGTGTAGTTTTAAATTCTGAGTATTAGGGGCCAGTAAGATGGTTCAGTGGGTATGATTGTTGCACAGTCTTTGGTCCTGAATTTGATTCCTTGAACCCACAAAAAGGTAGAGGATCAGTTCTACACAGTTTTCTTCTGACCTCCTTAAAATTTAAGTTCTTAGTTTTGGGGAATCAAATGGTTGAAGAATATAGGCTATTCCTTTGTTTGGGTTTGTCTGATGTTCCCATGGGTAGTTAGTTCAGTTTGTGCATTTTGGTAGTAATACCAAAGAAGTGATGTATCATTTTAGTCCATTTATCAGGGAACAGATAATGAGAACTGTCCCCCCATTAACTTTAATCGCTTGGCTGGCATCCTTCTCTAGTATGTTTGTTCATTTTACCTTTATGTTCAATAAGAAGCTGTCCTGCTTCTCATCAAACTTGGAACTAGTGGTCTCAGCGTTCATTGCTGTTTCCTGAAATAAGTGCCGAAAGAACAGTAACTTTGTTTCGCCCCATGCATGTCTCTTCTTTTTAAAGTTATATTTATGTATTTGATTTTATCTTTAATATTTAATTGACATAGTAATTATATTTATGGGGTAGAATCTAATTCAACACGTGTATAAGGTGTAAGATCAAAGCAGGGTAATTAGCATTTCTCTCTAAACAGTTACCATTTTTGTTTGGAGTGTTTGGACTCCTGTCTCCTACAGCTCTATAGAATATAAGTTCCTGTAAATAACTACTGTGAAGTCTGTACTGGTTCTCTGTTCTGCTGTTCCCATCCCTGCTCCCTCCTCAGTGCTCCTTCCCCAGTGCTCCATCTCTTCTACTCTGAAAACAATCTGTTGTTGCAGGTTTATATCTCTTGAATTTAGTATAAATATTGTTTTTGTGCATGCAGATTTAAGGGTAAGTGATTCAGAAATTGTTACTTGAATTTGCTGTTGAAATGCTGTTATTGTGTCACTTCTTTTTAGCCCAAGCCTATTGATGTGCAAGTTATTACCCACCACATGCAACGGTATGCAGTCTGGTTTGGAGGTTCGATGCTGGCTTCCACGGTATGTAAATTTAGCTGTAAAATTTTATTTATTTTTTTAATAAATTTAGTTGTAAAGTTTTATTTCTTTTACTAGAAGATCCCAATCAGTGATTAATGGAAACAACAATATAATTTCTTTTTAAATCTAATCTAAATATAGCATAAGAAACTTCACAAATTATGTATTTTTAAAACTGGAAGTTATTTCAATTTAATACTTGTTTTAAATTTTAGCTTGCTAGACATTTACTTCAGAGTGAGCATTTATTTTAACATCTATTGTAGAGAAAATTCTTTTAGATGTGTGGTAATATACTCATTAAAAAGTTATTAGTATTTTTTATTTATTTGTGTGTGTGTGTTTATGTTTGAGTGTTTTGCCTACATGTTTGTAAGTGCATCTGTGTCATGCAATGTATTTCTTTTCAAGTATCTAAAACCATGAAGGGGAACTGGAGAGAGGGCTCAGCAGTTAAGAACACTGACTGCTCTTGCAGAGGACTTGGGTTCAGTTCCCAGCACCCATGTTGTTGCTAATAACCATCTGTAACTCGTTCCAGGGGATCCTATGCCCTTTTCTGACCTCCGCAGGCATTGTATGACATGGATGTGCTTTTTTATATATACAGGCAATACATTCATATACATAAAATAAAAATAAATATTTTGTGGAAAATGACATTTAATTTTTGTAGGAAATATGTTTGAAACTGAATAAAGAAAATTATTTTAGGGGTTGGAGAGATGGCTCAGTGGTTAGGAACACTGGCTGCTCTTGCAGAAGATTCAAGTTCAATTCCCAGCATCCACATGATGGCTAATAGCCATCTGTAACTCCAGTTGCAGGGGATTCTGATGCCCTCTTCTGACCTTCACAGGCATTGCACAACATGGGTGCACTTAAATACATGCAGACAATACACTCACACACATAAGATAAAAATTATAAATAAAATGTTACAAAAAGAATATTCTAGAATCCTCACCCCAAACTGAAACATCTCTAAAGCTCCTTTAAAACATGTTCTAAAAATAGTCTTATAAATATTGTTGTTCTGGTAGGGAATGGAATATTAAAATAAAGTGACTTTTACATGATTTGCTAAATAGTTATAGTGTTATATATAAAACCATTTAAAATAAGAACTAAAGATAATTTTCTCCTTAATTTCAGTCATCTTTGATTGTGCCGTGTAACCTAGGTGCAGTTGCAATTTTGCCCTTTGAGAATGTGGTAATGCAGAGAGAAGTGAGGACAGGGAGATGGGGGTGCTTACAGTGTGATCAGGACAGTTATCACCACCTTCAGCTCATACTGCGCTTTAGATTACTGTTCAGTGAGCAGTGTGGGAGAGCCTCAGCAGGACAGACTGTACACTTGACAGTTACCCTTTCCTTCCCCCAGACTGCAAAGCAGAAGAGAGACAGGTATTAGGCAGATGACAGGAAGTAAAAAAGTGGCACAGCTTAGTTCTGACATGATTTTTGTAGATTTAAGTCATGATTTCAAGAGTTTTAAGCTTTGTCCAAGTACTGTGGATGGACTGATAAATATTGTAACTTTAATATCTTTTTTTTCCATTAGGTTGTTTTTATGTCTTTACTGTTTTGTTTGTTTGTTTTATTTATTTTTACACCCACTTCTCAGATAGCATCTTCCCATAGCCTCCCTCCCCCCACTAGAGCCCTTATAATCTGATATCCCTACTACTGTCTGCTGTGTTGTTGGCACCCCCAGCCATTCCCCACTACTTGCCCTTCTGGTGAATCTAGTCAGCCTGTCTAGAGGTCTTTGTTTTAGGAGGGTCAGCTGTTCCTCATCTAGCGGTAAAAGTATAACCAAAGATTAAAGGGGACAATATAGTTTCATAAAAGTCCATATACATAGCTAAAGGCTACATAACAAGCAACAATGCAAGATAGGAGAGACCTTCTTTTGAGTTGTTGGCCAGGGTGGCCAAAAGGACTCCCAGATAGTAACTCGGCATAGAACTGGGAAAATGAATAGCAGACCCCAATCTTATCCAAAGGAATATTGACAATTTAATATCTATTTTAAAGTGCTTTTTAAAACATATTGAAAGATGAGAGGATTTTGATCTTTAAACAGCATTTTTTGTTTTATTTTATTTTGCTTCCAGCCCGAGTTCTACCAAGTATGCCATACCAAGAAAGATTACGAAGAAACTGGGCCTAGCATTTGTCGTCATAATCCAGTGTTTGGAGTCATGTCGTAGGCTGGACTTGCTGTTTTTTGGGGTTAGGGAGATGGAAACGAGAAGCTTTCCGATGACCCGTTTTGTCGGAATGACTGGTTCAAGGTTTTAAACCTGACTTGAAATAGTAAGACCAAACAAGATTGATTATACAGGAATATTTTAATGAGTGTATCAACATGCAAATGTAGAAGAGAGCCAAAATGATTAAATGTTTTCCTTTAGATTGAATATTTGAATCTTATGTGTATCAAAAAGAAGTGGATTTTAGTTCTTTCTGTGCCCTGATATTTTGTATATTATTGAACTATCCAAGATTTGCTGGGATTTATGGGTGTAGATAGCTCTATAATGTGTGAATTGGACACTTCTAAGTGGGCCATGCAGGAGCTTGTTTATATTTCATACTTTTATACTTTGAGGGAAAGAAGTCAAAGAAAAAAACTGTAATATGGAGGAAAAAAATGACCAAGTAAAGGATGAATTCAACAAGCAGCCTCATGAGACATGGCGCACACACTCATGGGTTCCGGTTATTATCAGTTGCTCCTCTCCCCTCTCCCCAGCCCCTAATGGTTTTCTTTGCAAGTGCTTTTGGAACTAGGAAGCGAGTCTCCTGGATTAGCTGATGCTTGCTAGTGCTTCCCAATTACTCCCATCTGTTTCTTGCTTTAAAAGAAAAGATGAAGATGTTGGACCAGTATTGCAGTTCTGTAGTGTCATTTCTTAATAAAACAATAATGTGATTACCAAAATTGGCATATTTAAAAGGCCAAATGCCATTCTAATAAAGGCAGAAATTTCTTTTTAATACTTGTTTCAGGCTCTGATCTCTTTATAAGTTAA